ATTTGCAGAAAAAAATATATGATATGATGTCGAATAAGACATCTTTTATCTTTATACACCACCTCACTTCCTGTGTGCCATATCAAACTTTTAATACAGTTATCTATAACGATTTTCTTTACAATTTTCATGATTTAATATTACTTATTTAAAAAGCTGATATTTCGAGGATCTACATCGTTATTGTTTAAAGCTAAATGTTGTTTTGGACTTTTCTGTTTTGTTAAGTCATAGAGAGTGCACAGTAACTTCAATTGCTTTTATCACTTTGAAAATTAACTCTTCCTGGGTCACACATATTTTAACAATTTGATTTCAACTGACAATATGACAATCAAATTGTGTGACTATTTATTGAAGCTATGTTGGTTCTTGTGAAGTTGGTGACATTATAAACCTTACCTAATGCTGACAGTGTTGCACTATGTTTATGGAAGCGTTAGATAAGTCAAACATAACTATCTGTTTTACCGCGGAATAAAATCTACGTATCCTGTTATGGTAAGCATCACCCTAAACATTTAAACGCTCAAAGTAATCATACAACTGATATTATCAGTATCGTATAAAAAAATAAAGTTAAATAACGTGATGTCTACATTTTTCAAATCTTGTGAAGCCAATAATGTTTAATGAAGTTAAATTTAAAAAAAACATCTACACGATTTATCCACTTCCATGATGTTGGAAAATTTCTTCGCTGAAGTAAATATTATATTACAATTCAATTACAGAAATATTTCCGTAAATCAATCATAACTAATAACAGAGGTAATAATGTCAATATTAAAAGGTTTTAACAACACAACCAATATGATCTTCCTTATATCTGATCCTAACAAATGGTTCTCAGATATAGCTCATATGTTTTTTCCTCAAGGATGTTAATCAAAATTTCAATTCCCCTGCGTTCACTGTTTTGATTATTGTCTCCATGGCATCCGTCCATTCGTCGTCATATAGATCCATATACTATTCTCCTAACTTGGGAGGTAGATTGGGGTCACTAAGGTCAGTTATATCTGGGTTATCACGTGTCAGTTTATCTCCCGTCATTTTACTCATCATGTACAATATATATGGCCTTTTTAAAAAACAAAACACGAATAAATGAATGATATGAAATATTGCCAGAGTAGAATGCTGCTAAAATAATGTAAATAGTACCAAAGCGATGACAATTTTAATTTAAAAGGGTTATTTCTCTTTGTACTTTGCATTAGTTCAATATTCTAATGTATATTTCCAATACTTAATTAAGGATAGTAAATCTGTTTCTGTTACCACCATTACCAAATGTAGAAAGGCATTAGAAATAAATACGATTGTATTATTTAGTTAAATAACAACATTCCTACCCCTGATCAGTGATGCATTTTTTCCCTATACCTTTCTGTTACCAGATACTAGAACACTCATCAATCGAATTTAATTGGTCAATATTCAACACTTTCGATATACCTGTTTGAATGTTGATCCATATTGCTTTCAGATTCCTTATAATTGTTTGTTTTAACAATACTATTTCTATCGGCTGCTTATCTTACAAAAACATAAACATCAAAGAGATGGAGATTTCAAATTCTATATTTTCATTGTCTGGAATTACTACAGAAATTTCCACAACTATTGTATACTCCGTTCTGTATTGATCTTATTTAATACATGATTAGTCATCAAATACAAGATGGCGCATAATAAGTTTGACAGGTGGTCTTTGAGATCAATTTATTAAACACAGAACATTTACAGTGCATAACCTGTTCACGCAATACTCCTTGTCTGCCTCTGCCTGAAGCAAATTCACTTCTGTGTGTTGTAATTTTTTTGCACCATGTAAATCTCCCTTTGTAACGAATGCATGTTTTCCTGCTGTGTTCCGAGTGCAGTATGTGGACGTTCTTCGTGAATGTGATTGATATCCTTTGAGCGGGGACGTGTTGGTATATAGCCTTTCCTCTTGCCTTCTCTAATATTGTAATAAATATATATACCATCCACTGACTATTTTATGAATCATTAAAATCAATACAAAATTGCAATCTGATATATTATCTAAGATCTTGGTCTACTGTATCTATATCATCTATTGCAATTCTGATGTACAAAATCATTAAGATGATAGTTTTAAAAATGTGCTGGAAATATGAACTGAATTAATCAATTCATTGAAAAAGGCCGAAGTCTAAACTAATTTATCACTGGATCGTTTTGATGTTGGTGCATATTATCTCTATAATGTTGCTTATGGTTACGATGAATCTTAATAGAGTCAGGAACTAGGTTCACGATCCAGGATGGTGGGAACAATGGTTGTTTGTGAATGTCATAAAAACATATTAATGTGATGAGCAAAATAATGAATTAAGTAATACAATTACGATATTGTCATAGCAACGATTTCTTCTATTAATAACTTACACTGAAGGTGATGCAAGCTTTGGTTTTTCAACGGTCTTTTTGACGTCTTAAATTTTCGAAACTTTTGCTGGTTTTGTCTCTATGTTTTTAAGATATCAGAAAAAGATGCTTACTTGTTTAACCATGCACTATTTTACCTCGTCTTTTTTAATTTTTTGAAGATGACAAATTTAAATCTCTAAAGGACATGATTCGTTCACATAGATACAAGCCTCGTGGTGCTTAGCGCTATGGACTTAACATTCGCTATGCTATAGTGCTATTTGATATCCTTCTTCTATTGACACGACTGTTTATATACAAGCCCCATAGCAAAAGCCTAGACGTTGGTCCCTCTCAAGCTCGATTTTTATTTTATTTCTTTTTTTATAAAGATTTAAATGATAATTTATATGAAGACAGTATGATTCAACTTTCAAATATAAAATGCACCATGCCACGACTTTATACCATAGTCACAACAGGTCAGTAACAAATATTGCTAGTCACGATCGTTATGAGTATAGAAATTATCAACAAAGAAACCCGGATACGTATTGCAAATTAAAAAAATGTCGAAAACTCCATTTACAGGCAAGGATAATAAGATTGTGCCGACTTCAAAGAGTGAAATGGACAGGAGGCGAAGATAACCAGAGACAAAAATATTCCGGTATACTTAGGCTTTCTTACTGATTCACGACCATCGTCTGTCCTGCATGTAGATAAAATCGACGCTCGCTCTCTGGCGTAATCTCTCCTGAAGCAACCTCTCTGTTTTGACTCTACAGTCACGATGTATAACATTCTCCAGGTACTCAAAACTATTTTTCAACTCATCTTTTTTCCTATTCTGTAAAGATTTTCAGTGTTATACAGTCCCTTTTAAAACAACGTCACATTATACATAATGCGTATTTCCATGACATGCTAATATGTTGTTTTATTAATAAATATTCTTCTTCAGAAATACTGATACAATTGGAATTCGTTATATTATATGTAACAATGTATGCTTTAAAATCCACATATATAGCTGGAAAATGTTCAATCTATATAATATCTAGTTTGCTATTAACATTAGAGGATTATTGCCCTTTGAACAGTGACTACAACTTATCCGGATTCCACAAGTAGTGGTTCCGCAATTAGTATTTGTTTACAACTTCCGCTTTCGAATTGAACACTGGCGTGTTTGGTGTTAGAGTCTATTTTATCGCATATACAGTCTGGTGGCCTAATAGGTAAGTGTTGGACTGTGTTATATTTCAATTTATGTTTTAATTGACATTTTATGTGCAACATTAATGTTTAAATCGATAAATAAGTAACGTTGTACATTTGTTTAACTTACAGATGACAGTGGTCATTGTAAACGGTGAGAGTTAATCATCACCCGACAAATAGAACTGGTTCTTATTTAACCATCAGCAATTTCTATGTTTCAAAATTTAAACAGTGAAATACATTCTACCACATATCTATCCGGTTATCAGTTAGACTATTACATCAATACCAGCACGGAAAGAGATATAAAGAGAGAATGTGTTCTCTTTAGATTGTATATCACACAAATAAAAAGCTGTTTTCACTTAGACTTCAAACATTATTGAGTTACATGATTAATGTAATGATTCTTTTGTTTTTATATGACGTTAGTAGAAAGGAATTCACTGCGCTTCTCCAGCAAAATAATATGAAAAATTCTTAGAATAATCTTATCAATATTTGATAATAATAAAAAGATAATGTAATATAATCTATGTACTATGCTACTTTAGCATGATTGTCGGAATGTTCATTAGGAATCTAAAAACAAAAAAAAAATGTGTCAATGACACGCGTGGATGCATCATTTACTGCGCTCTGATGTAAATCAAACGCGATTTTATCCTTCTAGTACATGAACAACTATGAAAATTTTGAAATGCTTACACAACTTTAATTGAGATATAAATTCCATGAAACCCTCTGAGAAAGTACAAGGAAAATAAGATCGGGTATGCCAGAAGGTTAAGCGGTTTAATCTTCATCGACATCAGAATATTACAAGGTAAAACAACATAATATTTTAATATTTTTCAATTACTTACCATGACGACCGTAAAATTTCCAAATAAAATAAAATCTTGGTCAATCCGAATAAGAAATGCCACGTTCCTATATAAAACACGTAAATCCTCACCTTGATGTTAAATCTTAACTTTTCCCATACCGCTTTGGTGTCGGCGTTTCCAATTAAATTCTTACCACCTGTTTCTAATAGATTTTTCTCCATGGCAAAACCAATTCATTGCTTTCTTTAACTCTGCATAAATAATACAATATAGAATTTAAACGAACATTGATGATAAGTAATGATATAATGAAATACATATTCGACAGTACAAGTTTATAATGCACCTCAGTGTTTTGTTTTCATAAAAAGGAAACCTGATATGTACGTATACAATTACTACAAATTAGTTGTTTATTGAAGTTAATTATACATCCTTATAATTAACTTTATAGTAAATAGTATCGAAGAATAACTCGACGAAGCGCTCTACCTATGGTTCACCGACATCACTGCGAGATACGCCGCCATCAACGACGACGTGATGATTGAGAAAGCGAAGGAATTGGGGAAGCAACTTGACATCACTGACTTCGCCTACTTGAGAGGATGGATACAGCGCTTCAAGGAACGACGAGGGATGAGGAAGAGAAAATACCACGGAGAAGTAGACAGCGCCGACATGACATCCGTACAGACAGGACGCCACGACCTACGCCAGCTACTCACAGACTACAACCCAGAGGACATCTACAATATGGACGAGACTGAATTCTTCTACCGACTCGGACCGAATTACACACTCGCCACGGAAACTACCAAAGGAACCAAGAAATCGAAAGACCGGATCACCGTGGCATTGACCGCCAACGCAACCGGAACTCACAAATTTAAACCATTCGTCATCGCCAATTTTCAGACGGCAAATTAGTGCTCAAACTACAGTGCGTTGTATGTGTTTGTTCAACGTTTCTTGTGTGTTATACAACGTGTGCTCATGTGATATTGGTACCGATTTTCTTTGTATGAATAAACTTGAATGGAACTGTCACTCTATCTGTGTTTGTTAGTCAATACGGCGAACCCGAGAAATAACTAGCTTCCATGTATGGAAACGAAAGTGGAAATTACCCACGGCTAAATTTAGAAATCCGAGAAAACCACAATAGCGATAACCCCTAGGTGACAGGAAGAACAGACGAGAATCGATGAATCGGATTCATTGACATAATGTCCAAACTCATCAAAGGAATGTTTGAAATCTTTATTAATTAACATAATTTATTATCATATGTTTAATAATATGTACAATATACATAATATTTCACAAACATGCATCTCTCAAACAACACATATGACGTGAATAAGTACCATATGGAGGCATACGTACTCAGTCCGGCATACGTGATCAACACCTCTGGATGGTAATGACAAGTTCGACGGTCATCAAGGTCATGTTCCAGCAATCCGGAAGATTCACAATCCGGACAAATACTGCTGGGGACCAATGTGTCCGGATTATCGACTGTAGTTCTTTTATAAAACGATATACAGCTATATATTGAGGTGACCACTGAATTCTATCATACGTCTCACAGATAGTTCTTTTATAAAACGATATACAGCTATATATTGAGGTGACCACTGAATTCTATCATACGTCTCACAGATAGTTCTTTTATAAAACGATATACAGCTATATATTGAGGTGACCACTGAATTTACGTCTCACAGATATTCTTTTATAAAACGATATACAGCTATATATTGAGGTGACCACTAGCTATATATTGAGGTGACCACTCATATCATACGTCTCACAGATAGTTCTTTTATAAAACGATATACAGCTATATATTGAGGTGACCACTGAATTCTACGTCTCACAGATAGTTCTTTTATAAAACGATATACAGCTATATATTGAAACCACTGATATACAGTCTATATATAAAACGATATACAGCTATATATTGAGTGACCACTGAATTCTATCATATATTGAGGTGACCACTGTCTCACAGATAGTTCTTTTATAAAACGATATACAGCTATATATTGAGGTGACCACTGAATTCTATCATATGTCTCACAGATAGTTCTTTTATAAAACGATATACAGCTATATATTGAGATGACCACAAGATTCATACCGAGGATCAAACGATTGGATCACACAGAGATTTCATCGTCAAAGCTGAAGTCAAAATTGATTTTGAAAAATGTATCGTTACTGATTAGTAAAAATTGACGAAATCCAAATATTCAATAACTACGTCTATTTTGCCTCCGATATGCCATGTGATAAACTTTGTAACGTTTTGTACATCCGCATTGTGTAACCATTTTAACGCCTCCGATTGGTCGTCTCTAACCTCCAATATTTCCGACTGGTTAACTTGAGATATTTAACCCATGGCTCCTGGTAGCTCAGCACACCACTTCGCTTTTTGCAAGAAAATCTGCTGAGTTCTGATTTGATTCGCTAATGAAATTTTAGTGTCAAAGTAGTTTATCTAATAAAAAACACATATAATCATGCAAGTATTGAGAATAAGCATTGATCTAATTGATTAGATAACAAGGAAGCAGCACAAGTTGTTAATCAACTGCAAAATGATCGGTCTATCGATAAAAACGCTTGTTTTGTACAGGATTTGATTAATGCTGCAATAATAGGATTGAAAATAGACCAATGTACGTAACTTTTCGCGTCAACAAACGTTACGTGCACGTTTCCCTCAGTAAATTTGTTTGGAAACGCATCATCGACACGGCATTTGCAAATTTACGAAGTGTCAACACAAGGTACGATATGATTGTTGTAATTTTTATCAATCAACTGGAGTTCGGAAAATATATCAGGTAATAGAATATAATTAATTTTCGTGTCCAAACTACCCTGAAATACCCCCTCTCTTTGGATAAGTTGTATTTCTGTAACAGATCGCGTAACGATAGTATTTTTGCGGTATTTCGACCCGATCCCAGTAACGTTAACATGTGACTATGCAGTTTTCCAAAATAGCGTCTATCGGTGTAGAGGAACTCGAGGAGACCATGGAATCTGGTAATTTTGATCACGTAACGAAGTGTTACGCACACATTTTTCACAGAGAAAAAAATTGTGTTGTATTTTCTTTTTGATATTCTATGTCTCTTGCATAGTAAATACTTATTTGGTGTTGGTGATGGAATTTAATTGGTAATGTTTCTATTTAACTAAGAACTTACATGCTTAGGTGACAAACAACCCAGGTAGTAGATCCTGTATCAAGAAAGGATTTATAATACAGTTTGATTAATGTCACGGAAAAACGAACAAAGAACATGGGTACGCAGTGTAAGCTAAATTGCCCAAGCTGCTAATTAACTAATCTGTTGAGTGGACAGTGTCAGGTTTGTGATCGGAACTCAACCTTTGTCCACGGCCTGCACTAGCAGCGGCCTTTTTGTCGTTATTATTTCAAGGTGACTAAATGCTATTAACGTTAAGTGAATTACATAATATACCAGGCCTGTCCACCTTGGTCCAAGCGTGTTTGTTTGTTTGTCATTTTTATTATCCTGAACGACTGCGCATGCTCACCTGTCCAGAGAGGCTGTTTCTTAACATTGTGCAGGTCACTTTGACTTGGACGAATAAAGTAGCAACATCAACTAGAATAGCTCTCTCCATTGTATTTTACGGGTGAGCACATTTCTTATTGTAATTTTATACCTTAGACTTTGTGGTTTGACAGGCCGGGTAGATCAACACTAGCATTAATGGGCGAGAAGGCTGTCCGAGTCTATAGTACAGGGCACGAAAAACAATAAAATTACAATGACACTAGCAGCCTATGCTGACGGCACTAAAATCGCCCCGCTTGTACACCTGCCTGGAATTCGCCCCCTACCCAATCAAAGGTGATATCCCGAGCGATGTTGTAGTATACATGTGCTGGGCTGGACAGAAGTCGTGGGCTAAAGAAGAAAGCATCACATTTTTTTTAAGAATATTTGGGGTGTTATTAATACTGACAGGCGATTGCTAATGTGGTACTGATGCCGAGGCCATTTAACAGAGGATATGAAAAAGCTAGTGCGTCAGAAATATAACACCGACATCTGTGTTATTCCCGGAGGTTACACATGTAAGCTACAACCAGCTGATGTTTCCTGGAACAAACCCTTCAAACTAAAACATGGAGAGTTGTATGAGTTGGTGTTTCAATGACCCCGTTGAGAAAACCAAAGCAGGAAATTGTAAAGCCCCATCTAAGACTGAGATGCTGTCATGGGTCAAGACAGTATTAGTCCGATCACTTATCACCGGACGGTAGTGACGATGACATTTTCCAGCAAGATTCTGGTGATGAGGAATTCCAAGAATTTAACGAAAATGGTGTCCAAGCTGCAGATGATGTTTTGAAAACATTGAAGGGTGATTTGCATATGTCTCGTCTTCTACCAAAGGAATTAAGTGAAAGTGATAATGGCGAAAGTGAAAGTGAAAGTGAAGACGGTAGCGCATTCGGCAGTCCCGACGTTAATTGAATATAAACTGACATGTGTTTTTTTTTATTTTGATCTATTTTAGATTTAACTGTTTTCTTGTTCAGAAATTCATTTATGCATACAATGGATTTACTTTGTTTCGGATCCCCTTTCATTGAAGTTAGTTTGGTACTGAAATGAATTAACACAAAAGTTGTTTTTTGACGGGAGTTGCTATGACTTTACCTGTGTTAACACCCCAGTATTCTCAAAGGCCTACCAAAATACCAGGTTTTACAGCAAGAATAAGCTATTGCCAGTGTATTACATGGATTCTGGTTACACGTTGCTACAGTCAGTCGTTGCTCCTCGCTAATCTAGCGATATCGTTAAATTTAAAAGTATTAAGAATATTTCAATATTAAATTGACACCCTCCCGGCCCCTTGCTACACTAATTTAAGTTATTGCGAGAGAAACATTGTAAGATAATACAATAGTGAACAGAATTTTTAAACCTCAGCTAAAAATAGGGCAACTTCCATTTAATTAACGTTAAATTAACATTTGTCTGCTCAATTAAATCGATCTGGAACCACTAGATCTTTTGTTCATTTGTATTTTCTATCTCAGCCATGAAAATCAAGATTTTCAAGATGTGAATTCAGAAGGCAGCAATGAAAGCTCATGATCTGGAGATGGCGACAACTGCAGATCTGATAAGGACGATGGAGATGGAACCGATGATGACGGATCGATATACGGCTATGATGACACAAATTGTAGCACCTCCTGGTCATTGAACTATAACAAAGAAATATGTATTCTTCTGGCATTGCTGTGCAGAAAGTTCCGTATTCTGACTTTACTTTATTACAATGGTTGGCAATGGTTGACTTTATTATATACCATGACAGCAGCAAATTTAAATATGCTGAGTTACAACATTTGTCCACATGATAGATACATTGTAAATAAAAAAAGTACACCAAAACCCATTCCACAATGACCATTTATACACATACCTATGGGACCAAGATTTGCAAGGATTTATGGGGAAACAAACTTGGCAAAACGTGTACAATTACAAAATTGTGACACATACACAGGTACGGAAATGTATGATATCCATCATTCACCTGCTTGGAGGACTCTCTATTCAGCAGATAGTTATTTTAAAGGTGGCAAGATGGGTATTCCCCTTGCGTTGGAGCTTGAAGGAGTAAATCCGTACTATAACATAAGGGTGATGTTTTCGATGACGCCAATTATGCTATATTCTAAACCTTCCAAGACATATTAGGAACACGTTCAACAACAGGAGCTACCATATCACAGGATGCTTACCTGGAAATTCTCTATCTTACAGAGTGTAAAGCTTACAGCGAGTACCACAATGGTTCAATACATGTGAAAATAAAACTATTATTGTACGTGTTAGGTTATTCTGGCC